TGTATTTCTGCGTATAGTCAGTTTGACTGCAGTAATTTGGTAGAGCCTTTGAGGTGTCTGCTTTTATTATGACCTTGTGATTTGAGGTCTATGATCTGAATTCTCTAGCTTTACTAGAACTTTTCTGTAATGTCTGGCTTTGTTTTGTAGCCATTTTGAGTTGAGATTTTGAGATTGTTTGAGGGACTTACTTGTACCTCGTTTGAGATTGGCGGTTGTTTAGCGCCTGTGTACCTTGAGTTTCATGGAGCGTTTTTAGCTCTAGTTAGAGGCTGGTCCTCTGTCTTTTAATTGTTTAAGATTTGTTTGGCTGTTAGCCTTTATCTTCTCTGAGAAGTTGTGAACTTGTAGTTCCTGTTTGAGTGTTAGTGTCTGAATTTTGAGGTACTTGTAGTCAGTGTTTGTACTTCTTCACGCTGTGATATTGTTTGTCTTTGTATTATTAAAGCCTTTGAATTGTTATTGTTAACCTGAGTAACTTCTGTAGCCATAACCTTTGACGGTGACTTGTCACCTGGCGCCCATTTATTATAGAGGACTTTAAGTCAAAGTTGAACCCTCCCAATCTTACCATCTGGCTGGCCGGTGTGGTTAGCAATAACTTCAATTTAGTTTTTCTGGGCTTCGCTTAATTTTGAGGCTACATTTTGGCGCCCAACGTGGGGCTAGTTTTGAAATTGTTTACAGTTCTTTTGTTTACTTTTGTAATCACTATTTAGAATTGTAATTCTCTATTATCTTAGGCACTTGTAATATTTAAGTGTTTATATTGTATACTTTGAGCTTTTGCTTTGAGTTTGTATTTGAGTCTGCACCTTTGAGGTTATTGTTTCTTGTACTTTGATATTGTACTTGTTTGCTCTTATTTGCATTTATATTTGAGCTTAGTTATGCTTCTTGTGCCTTCCGCTTTTTAAACGTCTTGGACTGTGGCAGGTGCTGTGCTCCTTCTGTGATTGGCCAACTTGAGACACCTTTCCGCTTTGCTGATTTTCACCTTGGACTTGCGCTGCTTGCTGTTCCTGGTGTGTTGCGGTTAAAGGTAGGACACTCAACAGTATACCATTGAAAGGACTGACCATGGAAGTTGAGAGGCTTAAGAAGGACGAGCTGCTCTATGAGCTCAATGTCGGCAGGAACGCTGGTTTTCCGCTGTCTGTTAGTGTTGAGAGAATGCGTGAGGCGCTTCGCTCTGCTTTGAAGCGTGAGGCTAAGGGAGAGATTTTTAGAGAAGGCACCTTTGATTCTGAGGAGGAGTTGTTGATTTGTGGGCCGAAGCTTGCCGAGGCCCATGAGTATTTCAAGGATCCTGAGCACAACTCTTCTAAACGTTGTCAGACCTTGCTTTATCATCTCAATGGGCGGCTTGTCCGTTTGTTGTCTCAAACCGAGGGAGAAGAGCGTGAGATCTGCAAGCGTTACTTGAAAGAATTGAAAGAGCTTTCTAATGTTTTCAAGAGTCGAGGTAGTACTCGTGAGTTTAGAGCCCCTTCAGTCGTTACTGTCTCTACTATGAGAGGAGGTAGCAATTATGCTCCTTCTATAAATTATATTCCTTTAGAAACTCGTTCTGTTGCTTCAGTTTCTACTCTTCGATCTGTCAGACCTGAGAATGTTCCTCTGCCCCCTTCTACTGCTAGTGTTCATGAGGATCATGAGCGTACTCGAGATTTGAGTAGTAGTCTTGCTGGACTTATGTTAGGTGCTGGAGCCAAACCCAAGATCCGTTCATCACCTGTTAAACCTGGCCCGTCTAGTAGCAGCAAGGGTGTTGCTTTCCATAAATGGAACTGTACATTTTCTGGAGCTAGGGACGCTAGTGTGAATTCTTTCATTTTGCGCCTAGAAGAGCTAGCTGAGGCTAGAGGAGTTCCTTTTGACGACTTAGTTCGTGGAGCCCCTGAATTTCTTGCTGATGGTGCTTTAATTTGGTACCGCTCTATTAAGAGTCTCGTTACAGACTGGGAGTCTTTAAAAACCTTATTGAGGGATGAGTTTTTGCCTGTCGATTATCAAGCATCATTAATAGAAGAGGTTAGAAATCGTCGCCAGGGTAGAGATGAGTCTTGTACTGCTTTCATCGCTTGTATGATGGGGTTGTTTGAGCGTCTTGATTTTGAAGTCCCTGAGAAGAACAAGCTAGAACAGATTACTAGAAATTTAGCACCGTATTACCTGCAGAATTTGAATTTGAAATCTTTGATATCTATCAACCATTTGAAACAAGAAGCTAGGGATTTGGAAGCAAAGAAGAACCTGGTCGAGCGTTATGATAATAACAATCGATCTAGGAATGTTTTGGAGCCTGATTTAGCCTATAAGCAAAACCCTAGTGGTGCTGCTTCTAAACCTTTTGTTTCTCAACGGCGTCCTGTCGTTTCTGAAGTAAAGGTACCTGCTGCTGATCCTGAGACAAAAGTTGAGCCTGTGGTTGTCAAACCTAGCTCTAAATTTAGTTGTTGGAACTGTAAGTCAGGTGATCATAGGTTCACTAACTGCCCTAAACCAAAGACCAAGTTTTGTCATAAGTGTGGTCATCCCAATGTTACAACAAAGGATTGCCCCAATGAGAAGGCGGGAAACCCCTTCTAAGGTCTGTCGTACCGGTGTCAGATCTTGGGAATCCTTTAAATCCGGCAGAAGAAGTTATGGAGATTCGTCTCTCATGTAAGGATGATGACCGCATGTATGTTGATTTGTCGATTTATCAAAGGAAGTTTTTAGCCCTGCTTGATTCTGGTGCTAGTAAATCTGTAATTGGTGGAAAGGGTTGGGATGTTCTCAAGAATGTTCAAATTAGACTTCAACCTAGTCCTATTAAGTATGCCCGTGTTGCTAATGGTGCTGTTACTGAGATTATCGGTACAGTACATTTGCCTTTGAGTTTCGATGGCCATTTTGTTGTTTGGGAATTTGTTGTTG